TACCAGTGCTGTGTGGCACCTTTGGCACTGTCCCCAGGCTGCCTTTCAGGAATAGAAGGAGGTTCTGAGACCTTTCTGCTCCAGGCCTTAGCATTGCTCCTGCTGGATGATCTGCTCAGAAAAATAAGTTTCTTGAAGAGAGGAGCCTTAGGTATGGTCAGGAGGAGCACAGTAGAAAGAAGTTATCTTCTCCCCAGTTTCATCCTTCTAAAACCAGGCTTTTCTGTAGGAATTTGCTGTGTCTGTCTCTAACTCCCCAGGGTGGCCAGGTATTCCATGGCTATTTTTATGGCTGTTTTCATAGCTATATTAGCAGCACCAGCAGCTTTGGGCAGGCTCAGCAGAGATTAATGGTGTCCATGGAGTTGTGTACTTTCATGCAGTGGTCTCTCCTCTGCACAAAGGGAAGTTGGTTCATGATGTGTCATGGAAAGGCGCTGCCCCAACCATGTTCCAGCCTTCCTTCAGGTTCTGTGGGATCAACCAAATGAGCTTCCTGGCTGGGTTAAATGGACAGATGTGCTTTCATATAGGAACCAGCTCTGATTTATACAAACTCAAGGGAACTGCTAGTATGCTGGACGCAAGGTGATGTACTCATCCTTATCCAGATTGGAAATAGAGATGCTCCAATCAGTTTCTGCACAGCAGAAAACAAATGCAGCTTCCAGAACTATGCCAATGGCTTTTGTCTTATGTGGACTTCTACCACTTGCATTTAAGAGGTGAATGCTGCCCAGTTTTACCAATTGGGATCAATAGGGAAACTGTGGTTAGGTATCTGATCATTGCTAATAAAATCAGTGATGTCACATTCAGCTAAAAAAAAGGGGGTGTTTTCTCCCTCTTTAAATCCTTCTTTATATCTGCAGACTGCAAGAACACTCCTTGAACAGAAATAAGCTTAAAGACTTGGCCCATTCTATATCTCAAATCCAGCTGCTCCATTTTACCCTGTATATCCCAAAACGTGGTTGTTTTCTTAAACGACAGCCTTGTGCTGACTTCTAAACTGCAATGACAGACAGGAGGCAGAAGGCTGCAACAGACAACTTGGGAACAAGTATAATGGCTTCAGCATGTGTTAAGGCACGATCACAGGGACTGGATAAGGTTACTACTGCCAGCCAAGTGCTGGAGGTGTGCTGGCTGGGCTGTGGTGTAAATCTTCCTTGTAGAATACACTGCCCAAAACCTATCTAGGCAACATTTTAGCACTGGTATTTAAGAACGAGTTGAAAGAATGACATGAAGAGCCAGAGCTGGGTTTTAAAAGTCTTTTTAAACATCTGCACTATAGATTTGTTGGGGTTTTCCTTTTTAAAGCATTGTTGCTGTGAAAAGTAAGAGCCAGAGCATGGCAGGGAGAGGCAGCATGAAATGGCCAGTGCAGGAAGCCATAGGGATCTGGGGATGGGCAGGGAGAAAACCCCTGGGCAGGAAGGCAGAAGCTCCCTGTGTTATTTAGCGTAGGAGCAGAGAGGCAGCCCGGTGCTCCTCAAGGCTGGGGTAGCGTGGGGTTCCTCACTGAGACCTTAATAGCTTGGACGAGATGCTACCAGAGCAGAACATTGGCAATGCCGAGATCCTGCAGGCTTCTTTGGAGCCTGAAGGAAACAGCTCTGTGCTGGTGGTGTCTCTGGGTTTTGCTGGCTACGTAGATGTCTTGCAACCTCGTAGGATCACGGGATCTATGCGAAGGAGTCTATCTTTGTGGTTTGCCACACATGTGCTGTGTAAAGGAGACCCAAAGCTGTGTATTTGACATGTCCTACTGGCCATTCCCATGTGGATGCACGAAGCTGACTTTGCTCTGATATACTGCTATAAGGGCAAGGACAGAGTTGTAAGCAGCGAAGAAGGCACCAAGTGGTCCTGTTGGGCTTGTAAGTGTGCAGTGATGCTCACATTACCTCCTTGTCATGGAGATCTTCACAATATGTAACTCAAGGTCTCTTTAGGTTTGATTAGAAACAGACACCCCCAACTTTGCACTGAAACTTTGAGGCCATCTCCAGTTACAGGAAGTCTGGGTATATCCATATGCAGATGTATGCAATTTGTTTCACTTCTGCAGTTAGCATGACTGGTTTTGAGGTCAGGGAGCCTTTTACTACAGAATGAGTTACATCTTGGGATGCTCAGCCCAGGGTGGATGCACGCCATCCCCTCCATACACTGCCCTCCATGCTCCCTGCCTCCTGCCTTCCAGTGACAGCTCATCCCTATTGGTACCCATAGGGGCTGGAGGTAAAGAAGCCCATTTCTGCTCCGTGGCTGAGCGGCAAGGAGGGCTCTGAGCTGGTGGCAGGGATGGGTGGTCGCTTGCTCCTTGGGGCTGATGGCTTGTGACAGCGATAACCATCACTGCTGAAAGCCCAGCTCCCAGCTGCAGTCTGAGCTACACAGCCAATGAAATCAAATCAGAACCAGAGCTTTTCTCTGTGTGTGTGTTTTGCAGACCCTTCTCCAGCTACTTAGGCTGCTTGAGTAGATAGGAAACAGCAGAAGGGTTCCCAAGGAAGGGCCTCAGGTCTTGTGTTTGCTGCTTGTTGGATCGCAGGGGAGCTGGGAGGTAGGGAAAAGCAGCACAAAGGCAGGGGGAGAATGTGCTGAGCTTCTTGACACCATAAATAATAAAAGGAAAAAGGAAGAAAGGAGGAAAAAAAATCCTGGAATACTTTCATTTCTTTATTACTCCATCCCTACTGATGCTCATAGGCAGCAGTCCATTGCTGCAGGCTTTTCTGGAGCTGTTTCATTGTCATTAGGTTTGAAAAGTATAAATATCGTGGCCATACCATATGATTTGCCCGGGTTGTGGTGCAGGGCATAGTCCCAGCCTGTTTTGGATGGGCCTGTCCACCTGCATCCCCCAAGAGGGATGGAAGAAGTCAGCCAGTTGAGAAGTGAAGGTGCCAAGAGGAGGCAGAGTGTGTCAATGGCCTGGATACTGGTCCCAGTACCAGGGAACATAAAGCTTGGCCGAATGCTCCCAAGGATCAAAGCAGAGAGAGTGGAAATATACATCAGGTTTTGCTGAGCTTTATGGGGAGCTCTTCAAAAGCCTGAGGGAAGAGTATTAGAGAAAGCAATAAATCTGAAAGCACAGTGGGGTGGCAGTGGCAGACAGCTCCTGCACCTCTGGTGCCTTCATCCCACATCTGCCTTTGGCTCCTTTGTAATAACTGGGCATTCTTTCCACAAGTCCCTTTCATAGCTCATCCTCACAAGCCTAAACCTGGGCCCTCCTTGCCCTCATGCCTGAGGGTGACAGCTACATCTCATCCTCCTGGTTGTATCCCAATCACTCTTTCTACTGCAGGAGTGAGAAAAGGAGAAGGATGCACACACCTTTTCACAGGCCCGCTTATTTGGCTGTGAAGCCGTGACAGAGCTGATCTCAGAAGGGCTAAGCCATGAATATGCAGTGAATTAGATGGAAGGATGTTGTAACAAGGGATGACTGATGGAAAGAACGGGTATTTCCAAAGACACAGGCTAAGATGCCTGAACCGGCATTAATGACACCGCTGGGAGGAAGCTCCCAGTGGGAACATCATTAGATGGTGGAGCCACTTCCCAGAAAGACTGATCCTGGGCTGAGAACATTTAAAAATAGGCTAATGTGAAACTGACTGAAAAGGTTCCCCCTTGGCATGCTCTTGGCTTGGTAAGGAGAGCATGAGCAGGGAGTACCACTGCACCCTTTCCTTCCTGGATCTGCAGGAGCTCAGTGTCGTGGCTCGAGGTCAAACCTTGCAGTCAAGGCTTTTGTCCAGGCATGTGGGCAGGTATGGCATGGGCTGTGCAGCACAGGCTGGGTGGACCAGTCCCAGCAGACAAGGCCATTGCCATGGGTCCCATCCAGCATCCTGCTGGTGGGGCAGCACTCCTGTTAATGAAGGGCACAGCACTGGCACTGTGTGCAGGAGGTGGGTAGGAGAGGATGCCCCATCACAGCACCTTTGCCTGCGGATACATATGCTCCATTACAGAAGCTCAAAGGTGGTTTTACTTGTATCTACTAAGCTTTAGAGTGGAACCAGCTCACTGCAGTGGTTGAAATGTCCTCCTGCTTCGCCCTGTTGGTCTTGTATATCATGGCCTATTGGGTATTAATTACTCAGGAAAGCTGGGCAGGAACAGCCTCCCAGGCTGCTGCCAGATTCCTCTCATCTCTCTGTGTGTTTCTGTAGGTGTCTCACACCAGCCTTTTCTATGGCACTAAGTGCCTTTCACAGCCTCTTTGCTGGAAGAAGCTCAGGTCCTCACATCAGGCTGTGGGGTGACTGAGGGGTGCAGAAATGCCTCTGCTGACAAACCCCCACTGCATGGGGATGCATGAGCAGAAAGCAAATCCCACCAAGCACCAAGCATGGCTGCTCTGTGTTCCTGGGTTTCTACCCTGTGTTATTCAGTAGGGGAGCACAGACGGGTTGGGGCCATCCTCTGAGGCCTGGGTTTGGGTCCCTCTGTCCTCAGAGACCTCTCCCATGGCCAGGACCAAGGAATGGAGTATTCCATGTGGTTCACTCCCACTGCGGGTGATAGGAGAGTGAAGCAGGATGTGCGTGCATAGGGTGTACGCACATGAGTGTGCTGGGCTCATCCTTCCACCCAGCTCCTGGAGGGGCAATGAGAACAGGTAGCAGAGCTCACCACAACCTCCCCATGGCGTGCTGGCATCCATGGGCTGGGACCAGCCCCTTTGCCATAACAACCACCTCCTCCCTTAACAACAGCACATCCTGGTGAGCTCCATCACCCTCAGATGCCAAAGCCAGCAGCTTTCCTGCACCTAGGGTAGCTTTTTGCCTCACCTCCCTCCTCTGCCCATGGTGGTGTCACCCTCTCTACCTGCATTCGGTGCCCAAGTGCCACAGCTGCAGCTTTAATGTGTTGAACTAAATAAGGGGTTGATTTACATCTGTTGCCTTCTCTCTTTTGCCCTTCCCCACCCTGCTCAAACCCACCCTTCCCCATCCCAACCCGAACAGGTAAGGAGAGCAATTTGGGAGAGGCCGACCTGCAGCCGAGCTCCGATCCTTCGGGAATGGACAGCAGCTACCTCAGCGTGAAGGAGGCAGGGGTGAAAGTGCCCCAGGACAGGGCCAGCACGGACCTGCCCAGCCCCATGGACAAGGCTGACTCGGAGAGCAACAAGGGCAAGAAGCGGAGGAACCGCACCACCTTCACCAGCTACCAGCTGGAGGAGCTGGAGAAGGTCTTCCAGAAGACCCATTATCCAGATGTCTATGCCAGGGAGCAGCTGGCCATGAGGACAGATCTCACCGAGGCTCGTGTACAGGTAATGGGGAATGGGGGGATGCTGGGCAAAGGGAGGGAGAATGGAACCATGAGCCTTGCTTGTCCCTGCAACCTCATCACAGCCTGCAGGCAGACAAGCCCTATCCAGAGCCCTGACACAGCCTCTCCAGCTGCGGATGGGGATGGTACATCCATGTCTGACACTAGTGTCAGCACCTTTATTTGGGTTGGGGGCTACCGTGTTCATAGAGATGCCTCTTGTCATTGAGCTAATGGGGACGGTAAAACCTCAGTCACCCTAAACAAAGCTGTTACAAGATACGGATGATCTTAAGGTCCTTTCCAATCCTAACTATTCTATGATTCTATGAGTCTATACTTTCTTCAGGAGGTTCAGCAGAGGACACAGGTTTGTTAGTCTGTGGGGGACCAAGGTTTCCTATGTTATGGGCTCTTTCTGGCTAGATGGGGATGCAGAGGTGACCCTAATGTTCCGTATCAGAGAGCAGCAAGTGATACAGGAGAGGCAGCTCTTGCCTGCTTGGCTACACAGGCACTGAGACTGCACAACACTTGGTGATCTGAAGCATAAAGATGCTCCCACCAGCTTGGGATGAACAGGAGTCAAAGAGCCACACTGTGGTCTCAAGCACTTCCATCACACAGGTCCCAGCTCCCATGAACTAGAACCCCACACTAACCTGGGGAGCCAAGCTCCACATTGAGAGTCAATGGTTCCCTGAGTGCTGCTCTTTCCTCCGAGTCAGGGTTAAACTGAAGGCCTGGCAGAGCTCAGAAGCATGTGCAAGAAGGAGCACCATCACTTGGAGCATCCGCAGCTCACTCCGTGATGGCCATCAGAGCTCCCACTGAAGCTTAGGCTCTCATATCCAGTCTATTTAGTCCTGTGACTTCTGTCTGCAGTCATTTATCAGCTCACAGCCCCAGAACCTTCATTAGCATCAAGAACAGCTGGCCTGTGCACACATGTGGTTGTGTCTTATACCAGGAAGACTCCCAGCCTGGTTTCCCCTCTGCCCCTACCTTTACCAGTAGTTGCAAACAGCCAAAGCAGTCGGGCCAGCATCTTGCTTAAGTCCCTTTTAGTCTGTACAGTTTACTTGGAAGTAGCTGCAGGATTTTTCTTGTCTGATTCCTGGTTTGCAAGGCTGGTGTCCTCTTCTTCCCCACAGCAGCTTCTCTTCAGGCTGGACTCAGCTGTGTTTCAATAGAAAGCATCACAATTCCTATTAGTCCCACGCTTGGCGTGCTGGGCACTGTGGGATGGGCAGGGAAGGGCAGTGCTACAAACATCAGCTCTCTTCTTCTCCCCCTGGATGCAGGCTGTGATTTCCCATGGACACATCACAAGTGCTGATGGGGTCCCCCGGGAGGCCAGGCGCAGCATTGGATTACCGGCCGCGCAGGGCATGAAATTCCTTTTGCTTAGGAATGAGAATGAGGTGCTGGAGGGTGGCAAGCTCCTCCTGCCTGCCTCAGAGCCAGCTAACGCATCCCAGCCAGCGCGCAGGGCTGGCTAAGAGAGGCAGGATGCAATCCACACGTTCCTTCCATATAACCCGTGATCCTAGGGGGTTTATTCCCCACTTTACCACTGGATAACACTGCGGCCAAGGGGAGAAGCGCCTCCGCAGAGGAAATCAGGCACAGCCTGGGGTTGGAGGTTGGAGATTTCACTCTGCTCTGAGATAAGCACCCCCAGAAGCCCAAGAACAGCCTCTTGCAGCCTCTCACATCCACCTCACGCTTGGGATGGTGATGACAGGGCTCATGTAATGGAGCAGCTGAAGAGCTTGTCCGAGTGGCCTGGCCTCTTATAAGCACTTACCCCAGGGTGAGAGGGGTGAGAACCTGCATTTCAATCGTTCCCCCATCTGCACCAAGCAGGACCTGTTCCCTTGTGCTGCGGGCTGACACCCAGCCACTGCCTTGTGTTGAAGGGCTGCTGTGCCCCCAGGAGAAATGGGTCACAGGCTGGGGTGGCACACGGTCTGCTGCTGATGGAGAGGGAAGCTTTTGGTGTTGGGGACTCAGTGAATCACCCCAGTGCCTGTTTTCAGCTCTGGGTTGTGTTATAGCTTGTTTAGGGCTGGCTTTGGCCTCCCACCCCTTTGGGCAGCACTGCAGCTCACAGCCAGAGATGGAGCGTGGGGCAGCAGGAGACGGATGGCAAAGCAAATTCCCACTGCAAGGACCAAGAACCCAACCAGGGCCAAGGCAGAGGGTGCAAGTCACAAATAAACCACCAGCCCCTTGCTTTTTACCTCCTACAAGCCAAATAGCCACTTATGTACTCAGCTATCAGGGACTCTGACTGCTGGGGGGTGTCTGGGCTCACACTGCAGCCCCATGGGCTTTGAGGGGAGCTCAACTGTCCCTCTCCCAGCGGAAGGAATTGTCCTCAGAGGAATGGTGAGTGTCCCAGGAGGCCAGGTTCAGCAAAGCAGAGCAGTGAGACAAGGCACCATCAGGTCTGAGGTGTGATGCTCCCTCCCATGGCTGAGCCAGCTCTGGCTGGAGGTCATCCATCCCCTTTGGCCAGGCTCAGCTCCCTGGGGAGCACAACCAGCCTCAGCACTGCAGGAGGAGCAGATGTGGAGCCAAGGGAGGGAAGTGGCAGCTCTGGTTTGTTCCATCCCTTTCCCAAGCTCATGCTTCATTAGTGAAATAGCTGCTGGAGATCCCTATGCCTGGAGAAGCGCTCATGCCAGCGCCGGTGGCATTCTGCAGCCTGGCTCCATTGCTCTCTCTGCCTCAGTTTCCAACCTTTGCTGTTAGTGTTTGACAATATCAAAGCTAATTCCCACTGCGATGCAATGCAATATTTCCCTTCCTGCCTCCCACAGCCCAGCCCCTTATTGCCAAGTGATATTAAGCTACTGCGCATCCCTGTTTTTAGAAGTGGGAGCCATGCGTAAGCCATCCCATGTATCCCATTTTTTCCTCCTCCTTTTCTATGTCCGGGGCTGCAGAAAGAGCTCCTACTTGGTACCAGCAACAAGCTTCTTCCAGCCCATCCACGCTGCTGCAGATGGTTTGAGACATGGTACACACATGGCTCCTTGCATGCACACACACATGTGCATCACAAGCCTGGCCCTGGCTGCTCATCTCTCTTGTGCTCTAACTATTAGGCTGAGAAAGTTGGGGCTGTTCAGCCTGGAGAAGAGAAGGCTGCGTGGAGACCTCATAGCAGCCTTCCAGGGTCTTAAGGGGAGCTATAGGGATGCTGGGGAGGGACTCTTCATTAGGGACTGTAGTGATAGGACAAGGGGTAACGGGTTCAAACTTAAACAGGGGAAGTTTAGATTGGTTATAAGGAAGAAGTTCTTTACTGTGAGGGTGGTGAGGCACTGGAATGGGTTGCCCAGGGAAGTTGTGAATGCTCCATCCCTGTCAGTGTTCAAGGCCAAGTTGGACAGAGCCTTGGGTGCCATGGTTTAGTGTGAGGTGTCCTTGCCCATGGCAGGGGGTTGGAACTGGATGATCTTCAGGTCCTTTCCAACCCAAACTATTGTGTGATTCTATCCCTGCCTGCTGGCCTGCCCTGTGGCAGAAGAGGAGAAGGGGTTGGAAGGAGGATTCGCAGCCAGGGAATGTAACTTCTCATCCAGCTCCCCTCGGAGCCAGCCTTGTGATGATGGCTGGGACCGCTAATGAAATGTTTTCGGCGGTGACCCTGTGATGCTTGAAAGTGAGAGGGAAATGTCAAACTCTGCTGTAGCAAAATCACCGCCTTGGAGGGGAAAAAAAAGGGCAACAAAAAAAGAAAAGCAAAGCAAGAAGTAATATATCTTGATCCCTTTTCCCCCATAAAACCCTGGGAGGCTGGTGGAAGGAGCGGAAAGACTGAGCTAAGCCTGCAGGAAATTAAACATGAAATGAAAACAAGGTCGAGTTATTCAATTCTCTCATCCCAGGCTCCAATTTCCCATTCCAGGCCACTGATAAAATGGTGTCCAGTTTCAGCTCTCAAGGATGAATTCTGGCTCTGTTCTTGCAGCCTGGAAAGCAAAGGGGCTGGTGGACATCTCCAGGATGAGGAGAGACAGACTGGCCTTTCGCAGAGGGATGGGGTCCTGGAGACGGAGGGAGATGGAGCAGAGGGATGAGGGCAGCAGGGATGGAGGACAGGGATGGGGAGAATAGATGTGGTGAGGCTGCCAGAGTCTTAAGTGCAGCGAGGCATTGTCTGCATCAGGGCAGTGATGCAGCAAGTGGGGCTTCAGCACAGGGTGAGATCCTGGCTAGATCCAGCTCCATGGATGCCCCCAGCCCATCACTAGATGTGCAAGGACCATCCTCACCCTCCACCACTGCACTAGGGTGGATAAGAGAGGGGAAATCACCTTTTCGTTTAGCTGGGAGGAAGAACAAACTCAGGGATGCAGCTCCAAGTATCCAGAGGGGCCTTGGTGAGGTACCAGCCTGGCCCATCCATCCATACCCAGTGTGGCACTCATGGGGCTTGGCAGCAAGACAGCGAGCTGGAGCCTCCTGCTTTCTTTGTCTGAGGCCATTCGCAGCCTCCTCACCCCCTACAGCACATCAGCTGTGTGTGCATATGGCTTTAGGTACCAGCATATGGCTGAATGTTTATGGAGACATGAAACATTTTGTGTTCTGTGGATTTTTATAGGGCTGATTTGGTACGTCAGGGCTTATCAAAGCATTGTCTGCAGGAGCCAGATTCATGACATTACCCTCCACTCCCACTCTAATTGATAACACCGAGATGCAGCCCACAGCCACTGCCTATTCCACAGAGTACCCCATCCTGATCCCAAAGGACCCGCTGCATCTACTGCTGCAACCTCCACTGTCACATTCCCCTTCTATAGCATCCTCCCTCGATGGAAAGTGACAGGCAATAAAGGGATAAAGGACTTCTGTTAGGTTTAGATTTGCTTTTTAAAAGCAAATTGACTGAGGGAACACTTGGGATGAGTTGGTTTTCTGATGACAACTTCAGCATCACACATTGCCCTGCCTGCCCTGTTTCTCCTGGAGCACTTTGGTCTAGGGAATCCCTACAGCAACGTACCAAGCAGCCAGAAAGACCTGGACCAGAGGGAGAAGGAGAACATTAAGTAGTGGTCCAAGCCTTGTCACAAGTGTTTGGGAGCAGTAGCTCACTGCCAGCCCTCAAGTGTCTGCAGTGCCCCTGGCACCAGCACTTGTTTGTTCAGCCTGGAGGAAGACCTTATAACAAGCTTCCAATACATAAGGGGGCCTTATAGGAAATCTGGAGAGGAGCTTTTTACAAGGACCTGTGGGGACAGGACAAGGGGAGTGGATTTAAACTGATGGAGGGGAGATTTAGGTTGGATATAAGGAAGAAGTTCTTCCCTGTGAGGGTGCTGAGGTGCTGGCACAGGGTGCTCAGAGAAGCTGTGGCTGCCCCATCCCTGGCAGTGTTCAAGGCCAGGTTGGACACAGGGGCTTGGAGCAAGCTGCTCTAGTGGAAGGGGTCCCTGCCTGTGGCAGGGGTTGGAACTGGGTGAGCTTTAAGGTCCCTTCCAACCCAAACCAGTCTAGGGTTCTGTGACTCCTTTCCAGCCTGATCTGATGCTTTGCCACAGCCTCGCAGCCCCCCAGCCACATGGGGTTTGCAATTTGGGAATTGCCAGTTTAAACCACTTCATTCTCCTGGTGCCAGTTCAAACCAATGCACCTATGAGAAGAAAAGCCTGCACTTTGGACCCCACTCCACCTTGGAAAGCATCCCCATGGCTGCTTTGCCACTGTGGGGGGATCCAAGCACGCAAACCCCACGCTGATGGCTTGGAGGTCACACCGCAGAGCCAGGCACTGCTGCAGGACCCTGTGCTGGGGAGCCCCGCTCCGATGGGATGCTCCATGCACGGCGGTGCAGGTGTGTGGGCAAAGCACGCAGGCACGGCCGCATATGCCTGGCACATGTTCACGGCGGCCGGCGCTGCGCTCCCTACCTGCTCTGCACCCCCCTGTGCACAGCAGGGCCTCCTCCGCCCGAGGAGGAACCGGGTCACCCCCGCTAGCTTTGAATGTGCAGATCAAAGAGGCATCATGTGGGCCAGCCCTGGGACTGGCCTGCAGCTGGGCTGCAGCGGCCGTGCCAAGAAGGGAAGCAGACGGATGCCTGGGGCATCAAACCCGCTCCAGTCGGATGCTCCTCGTGCGCAGCGTGTGCTCCGATGGGATGACGTTAGGAGCTTTCTCGTGGTGCTTTTTGTACCCGCTGTAAATCCTTGCGGGGTTTTGGATTCAGGGGTCGGGGGGTTAATACTGGGTTGCTGCTTTGGGTATGGTTAGACTGGTTGGCTTGGGGACGGCCCACGCCAGTGGCATTATGTGGCATAGCACTAAGCCCTACACCATCCACCCCTGCACCATCCAACCTTACACCATCCACCCCATACCATCCTTCCCTACACCATCCATCCCTACAACATCCAACCCTATACCATCCACCCCTATACCATCCGTCCCTACACCATCCACTCTACGCCATCCATCCTTACACCATCCACCCCTACACCATCCATCCCTACAACATCCACCCCTATATCATCCGTCCCTACACCATCCACTCCACACCATCCATCCTTACACCATCCACTCCACACCATCCGTCCCTACACCATCCACCCCTATACCATCTGTCCCTACACCATCCGTCCCTACACCATCCACTCCACACCATCCATCCCTACACTATCCATTCTATGATCCACATCGGGAGGACATCGCAGTATCCCCCCTCCCTGCACTGAGCAGACCACAGACCCTCAGTTACCCACTCGCACCATGGGTCTGGCAGCAGTGAGGAGCTGTGAGAGACCAGCACAAGACTGAGGAAGGGCAAACTGAAGCAGGAGAGGCTGAAACAGCTCCTCCAGCACAAGAAAGTCAGCTCAGACCAGAAACCATGGATCCTCAGGCTTTTTTCTCCCTGTAACAGCTTTTAGCTGCATTGATGCAGGCTGCTAATACCAGTGCTCTTTTACCCCCTAAAGCCAGCTTGCTGCCCCACTGCCCTCCTAAGTCTACCCATTATCCTCCATGAGCTTCCCCAGCTGCCCTCCAAGCAGCAGAGCTGCCCCATGGCCAGGCACAGGCAGGACCAATCTGTTCATTAGTGATCCCCCCCCTCATCACCGTGTAAAACTCGAAGCAGAACCGAGCAGCTTTGGGGCTGCTCCTGTCATGCACTGGCGTGACCTGCCCAACCCAGCCGCTGGTGATCGCCTGCATCCCTCAGTGCCTTCAAAGCGGCTCTTGATTGATGCGTTTCCCTGACTCAGAAGCTTCAAGAGGCTTTGAAGACACTGGGCCTGGCTCTGATCTCTCTTATGCTTGATGCAAATCAGGAGCAATGGTGCTGACAACAGTGCAATCATCCACACTGATGTCAAGCCAGTAAAAATAAGAGGAGAAGCAGGGTTTGGGTCCTTCCTCTGCCTTGAAGGGATCTGAGCAGCGCTGTGAAGCAGAGAGAGCTGCAAGCCCTGCAAAGCAAAGTCAGGGTAAAGCTAAGGACACGCAATGCTATAGAAGGGCACTCGTCCTGCAGCTAAGGAGGGGAGGGGTGTTGTGCTGTGCATCTGGGTTTTCACAGTTAAGAAAATGAGGAATTCAATGAGAAATGCAAGCTCCCAGCCAATGGCACTCTCACAGCCAGGATCAGGCTTAAGGAAAGCCCAGGTGCCGCTGGGTTCGGGCACACATGGATGTGTTCCCACTTCTCATCTGAAACTGGCTGATGGCACAAGGGCTGTACCTGGGTAACACTGATTTAGGGGTGTGAGGAGCGTGGGCTGCACCAGGCTGTGGGGGGCAAGAGCTGTGGATGCAATGGAGCACCTCCCATATGGAGACAGGATGAAAAAGCTGGGGCTGTTCAGCCTGGAGAAGAGAAGGCTGCGTGGAGACCTTGTAGCAGCCTTCCAGTATCTGAAGGGGGCTACAAGGATGCTGGGGAGGGACTCTTCATTAGGAACTGTAGTGACAGGACAAGGGGTAATGGGTTCAAACTTAAACAGGGGAAGTTTAGGTTAGATATGAGGAAGAAGTTCTTCCCTGTGAGGGTGCTGAGGCACTGGCACAGGGTGCCCAGAGAAGCTGTGGCTGCCCCATCCCTGGCAGTGTTCAAGGCCAGGTTGGACACAGGGTCTCAGAGCAAGCTGCTCTAGTGGAAGGTGTCCCTGCCCATGGCAGGGGTTGGAACTGGATGAGCTTTAAGGTCCCTTCCAACCCAAACCATTGCATGATTCCATGTGTCCAGAGAGGCAGAAGATGGGCATCACCTGTCGCCTGGGGTGCTCAGACCCCCCCAGAGTTACCCAGCACGGCTCTTGTGCCATGCACACCCCCTCTCTGTGATGCTCTGCCTGCTCCCGGGGGCTCCCCATCCGCCACCAGCATCTCCCCTGTTCACAGCCCCCTGTTGCCCTCTCCCCAGGTCTGGTTCCAGAACAGAAGAGCCAAGTGGCGCAAGCGGGAGCGCTTTGGTCAGATGCAGCAGGTCCGGACCCACTTCTCCACTGCCTACGAGCTGCCCCTGCTCACCCGTGCTGAGAACTACGCCCAGGTGAGCACATCCCCCTGCCCTGCTCCTGCTGTCCTGGTACCTCTGATCACAGGCACCCCCAGGTGATGCTTCGCTGCTCGGGTTCATCCATCTGCAGGGGCTGGGGCGGTATTGCCAAGCACTGAAGGAGTTACACAGCTGGGTGTCCTGCTTTTCTCTTTCAAGCAGGCACCAAAACCATCCCTGCTTGACATGCAGCCACCCTTTGGGCACAGGTCACCCTGCTCGGCATGTCCTATTAGGGGGAGATTTAGGTTGGATATGAGGAAGAAGCTCTCCCCTGTGAGGGTGCTGAGGTGCTGACACAGGGTGCCCAGAGAAGCTGTGGCTGCCCCATCCCTGGCAGTGTTCAAGGCCAGGTTGGACACAGGGGCTTGGAGCAACCTGCTCTAGCGGAAGGTGTCCCTGCCCGTGGCAAGGGGTGGGAACTGGATGAGCTTTAAGGTCCTTTCCAACCCAAACTAGCCTGGGATTCTATGATGACATTGCCCTTCCATCACGTGTGCCCATTAATATCCTACTGGTTTGGAAAGGTCCAAAAGACTATTTCACACCTAAAGCCCAGCAGTTCCCAGCAATGATTCCCATCTCCATGCCTGGTTTCCATGCCCCCTCTTAAGGCCGGTGGACAAAGCATTTTCCCGTGGTAAATCTCCACAGCTGTCTCACAGCAACACGCTGTGGTACCCACACTGCTCTTGATGACGTCTGGGGATGCTTCCCAAGGGATTTGTGGGTCTGTGCTCCAAAGGAAGGGTGGGAGCAGCCTTGCTGGGGTATCCGCAGCTGCTCCCAGGGCCTGCTGAAACCATTCCTGCTGACCCAGGAGGCAAGGGCCGCCTTAGCTTCCTGCCCTGGGGAACCTGCCACCACAGCAGCCTCCTAAGCGTTGAGCCGGGCCCCATTTCACAACGCTGCCTTCAGATGATGCCAGGGCATCGTCAGGGTGTTCATTAGCTCGAGGGCTATGCTGTGCCCCACAGAGCATTCCCTTCATCCTGCTGACTCCTCTTCCCATCACCCGGAACCCCCTCGAGGATGCTCTGAACCCGACTTGTCCTCACAGATCCACTTGGAGCCCTTCCTCCCCCAACACCCTGGCTCCCAGCTACTCCAGCACCACACCAAGAGCATTTGACCTCTCTCCTGCTTGGCATCCCACTCCCAGCTGAACAAGAAGCCCTTATGAAACAGCTGAGAGGTGCCAAAGCAGCTTTTCAAGCAGGGGACACTCTCAGCCGCCTTCTCAACGTGCCCTTTGTAACTTACACTGGCTCCCTCCCTCCTTAGTGCCCTCCTCTCCCTGCCCTGGGGATCAGAGAATGAAAAGCAAGTTGCAGGAGGAAGGAGATCAGAGAGGGCCCAAGGGTGAGCAGTGGCACGAGGGGCCCTTTGCTCTCTCCAGATGCTTGCCTCCTCCCTGCTTTCATCCCCTGTGCCCATGTACCCCCAGCACACACCTATTCCTGCCGGTGGATCCTGAGCCCCCTCCTGCACCATCATTTAATGAATGATGCTGAAGGAACCCAGATGCCGCTCAGTTGCTTCCTCAATGGGCAACGAGCATCACTGGGAGAGGGGGAAGTGCCGGTGCTGGGGGTTGTGGGCAGCTCAGCTCTGTGTGATGTAAAAAGCCCCAGTTTAGGCAAAGCTGCCCTGTGATGGGGTAGGAGGGTGGATTGGCAGCCTCACAGCGCCTCTTTCTGCCTGCTCCCTGTAGTGGGTAGGCCCAGGGAAACATGATGGAAACACCAGATTTTCTATGGAGAGAGCATCCCTGCTCCAAAGAGTGCTGATGGAGTAAAGGAATAAAAGAAATGGCTGAGGGGGAAAAGATATCATTAGAATAGGATAGAATAGGATAGGATAGGATAGGATAGGATAGGATAGGATAGGATAGAAGACATTTAAGATCTTCAAGTCCAACCGCTCCCCAGCACTGCCAAGACCACCACTAACCCATGGCACTGAGGCCTCGTCTCCATGGTGTGTGAACACTTGCAGTGACTCCAGCCCTGCCTTGGGCAGCCTGTTCCAATGCCTGAGCACCCTCTGGGGCAGGAATTGTTCCTCAGCTCCATCTAAACCTGCCCTGGTGCAGCTTGAGGCCGTTTCCTCTTGTCCCATCCCTTGTTCCTTGGGAGCAGAGCCCAGCCCCTCCTGGCTCCATCCTCCTGTCAGGCAGCTGTAGGCAGCCATCAGGTCCCCCCTGAGCCTTCTCTTCTCCACACTGAACCCCCCAGGTCCCTCAGCCCTTCCCCATCACACTTGTGCTCCAGAGACTGTGTCAGAGGAGGGCGCATTCCTGCTCACTGTGGGTTGTTCTCCCACCCTCCCTGCCCTTGTCCACACTGACACAGATTTTGGATGGGCTGCAGATCAGGTGCACCACATCCCATCCCACCGCCGCTCCCCATGCACAGCGCTGCCCTGTGGGATGCTCTATGACACCTCTGATGCTTCTTCTCCCATCCCCAGATCCAAAACCCCTCCTGGATCGGCAACAACGGAGCCGCCTCCCCGGTGCCCGCCTGCGTGGTCCCCTGCGAGACGGTGCCCTCCTGCATGTCCCCCCATGCTCATCCCCACGCGTCCGGCGGCGTCTCCGAGTTCCTCGGGCCCGGCAGCCACGTGGGACAGACTCACATGGGCGGCCTCTTCGGCACGGCCGGCATGAGCCCCGGCCTCAATGGCTACGAGCTGAACAGCGAGCCGGACCGCAAGACCTCCAGCATCGCTGCCCTGAGGATGAAGGCGAAGGAGCACAGCGCCGCGATCTCCTGGGCGACATGACAGCCCAGCGCCGCACCGGGCACGTGGGGACAGCCGAGTACATCCACCCGCTTGGACTCCAGACACCAGTTGCCTCCTCGGGGATTGGAATGCAAGCACTTTTAGCTACCCTTATAGGCATATAAAGTACCTATGTTAACGTAAGTGGAGTGTTCCCAGCATGAACGCGGCGGCTCCCGGCCCCCTGGGATTCAGGCGCGTGGAGCATCGCCAGTGAGATCCGGGTTGGGATGCGTCCCTTCTCACCTCCCCGATAACCTGGGCATTTTTGTTCTCCCTGCTCCTTTCTCTGACACCAGATCTGCCTTTCCAAAGAGGAGGAGCTCGCTGGCGTGTCAGCAGCTTCTCCCATCCCACATACACACCCAGACACATCTTCTCCTCCTGTTGTTGGCAGCGTTGTTCAGATCTGTCCTGCCTTGGGCAGGGGACTGCATGGGGACTCTGGCACCAGCAAAGAGACACTTCTGCTCCCATCCTTTTAGCGGGAGCCACAACTGGGAACAGGGCTGGGAAGATGCTAAAGGCTACAAAGAAGGCAAATCAGCCCACCTTCTACCTTGCTTCCTTTCCATCCACAGCACAGAGCTACTGAGCTAGCTATAGGGCCATATAGAGCTATAGAGGCCTGTGAAGGGGGTGCCTCTCTTCCCAACACAGCACCGTGGTACCACACTGAGAGCCTTTGCCTCTAGTTGCCCACCCCAGCACACAACAGCTTCCCAGCACAGCTCGCTGCCCCAGGGACCAACTGGGGTTTGCTTTGCCACTCACACAGATGGTGGGGTAGGAAAATGCTTTCCCTGGGTCGGGAATTGTGATCCTCAAGGGGAGGGGAGCACAGCTGCTGAGTGAACGCACAGCTCCCCAGTGAGACCGCTCCGAGGAGCACACACAGAGCCACGGGTGCGAGGCCATCGCGTTCCTCGTGTCCTGGGGTCAGACACAAGCAGTGACAGCCCCTCCTGCAGCCCTTCACCCCTGCTGCACACAGACACACAGGGAATGGGGAATGGCACAGGGAGCAGGTTGGGAAGGGACCCAAGGCTGGATCCGCTCCATCTGCAGCCACTTGGATCCTCTCAGCCATGCAGAGGGAGCAGGAGGCAGCAGAACTTGCCTGGTTTGAGCCAATGTGCATCCCCACTTCTGGTAAGATCCCCTTTGCTCCCAAAGCTTTCTGATGATTTTGTAGTGCTAGGAATGACTTTGGAGCATCCTTTTCCCCACTGAACCCTCACCAAGGAGAAGCTGAGGATCAGCTGAGCACCCACACAGCGTGGCTATACAGGCTGAGCTTGAGTGAATCTGAGATTCACAAGGGAAATACAGGATTTTACTCCCATGAAAACCTGTGCATCAGCCTACCCTATCTCCTCATGCTCAGTGTTAGGGGATCTTGTAGCTCAAGGCCCAGGAATATTTAGTGGTGTTGGAAAAGGCTCCAAATAAGCTGCAACCAAATGGTTTCAGGTTAATATACAAGCATTTCTAGACTGCCACACGCTACCTAAATGGCACACCATTGCTAGATCAGATGTACCATGTATTTATTGGCATAAGACCAGGAGTCCTGTCTCTTTTCTCGCCTCTGAAGTGCCAAGAGATGCCTACCTTGGTACTCACAGGGCATCACAGTTAACCACACCATGTGTACAACCAGGGCATCTCCCATCACAAGCAGCCAGGACTTAACGTCCCAGGCTGAACATTCATCTGAGCCATTGGACATAATGGTTTAGGTGCTAGAAGGGATGCTCATCACTGAACCAGGCAGGATCATGCTGAGCAGGTGGAGGTGGACATCACCCCACCAAGCACCCATGGACCAGTGGCAGGAGGTGGACCTCTAGCAGATACTGTGCAGGCAGCTGAGCACAGCGTCAGGAGCGTTATCCCAGGTACAACGTGATGCTTCCCATGGTCAGGAAGCAGCTTCTCGTGGCCCAGAGGCAATCCCAGGAAGGGCACCTGCCTGAACAGCCCAAGACAAGGCAAACTAGCAAGAAGCAGGGCTGAGGAGGGGCAGTGTGGCAGGCAGGAACATGGGGATGGGTTCCACATGGTCTGCAGCTCCAATGGAGGGATGTAGCCATTCAAGACCTTAGCTGCATTCCCTGATGAAGTTAAAGGGTAACTTTTCCTCATGGACTTACACAGGGCTACGGTTTCACCTGAGCTGTTTAACAGTCCAGAGGGATGTAGTGATAGGACAAGGGAATGGCTTTATACTGATAGAGGGGAGATTTAGGTTGGATATAAGGAAGCTCTTCCCTGTGAGGGTGCTGAGGCACTGGCACAGGGTGCCCAGAGAAGCTGTGGCTGCCCCATCCCTGGCAGTGTTCAAGGCCAGGTTGGACACAGGGGCTTGGAGCAACCTGCTCCAAGGTGTCCCTGCCCGTGGCAGGGTTTGGAACTGGATGAGCTTTAAGATCCTTCCAACCCAAACCATTCTGTGACTCTACGATTAAGTGCTATATCCCTTGTCTTGTTAGAGACAGGAGAGCCTCCTGGCAGCAGATTGGCATTTACAGAGGCTTCCCCCCCTACTTTCTCTCACCTTAAAATCCATGTGCAAAGCACATGTTGGGCTCAATCTATTTTAATCACCACACACGTGCCCAGACCTGAGCCTGCCTGGAAGCATCACGATCCGAGGGGGAATGCTGTTCCCTAGAGCCCACTGGCTCCAGGCTTCCTTCCTCACTGCCTCTGCCTCGCACAGCCCCTGTGCCCCCATCCATGGGTCAGGGTGCAAGGTGCTCCCTCAGCCACATCTCCGAAAGCAGCTATTCTGGCAGGTTTTAAGCCATGTTCATCTGTATTTACACATGTTGTTTTTAATTAATTTAAAAGGGTTTTTTCAAACTAGCTATTAAATTAACAAGAAAAACTGTATAAATATATATATATATATACTTTATATATATATATGTATCTTAATCTAAGCCAACCTGCGGCTACGCCATTTCTTAAGGGTCACAGGGTCAGTGCTGTCCTTGCAATCTCAAGTTACCATAACAATGCCTTTTTTAATTATTATTATTGTTATTTTAATACCTTTCAGCTCTATTTATGACTTTCTTCTCTATTTATTTCTTATTTAGTATTTTACTCCTGTCCATACATTGATTTACCTTCGAAGCTGCAAGCTTCATCCCCAGCCATCAATACATCTTCCCAAGCCCCAGCTTGTCCTATGGACACCCTCCATGCCTGTGGTGGCATCCTCTGTGGGCGCAGCACCCAGCGAGCTGGGTTCACCCTCTCCAGGTAGCAAAGCAGCCCTGGTCCTGGCTGTGTAGCGGGTACATTAAGAGGAGGGTCTGCCTTATGTTGCCCATGGTTAGAAACACCAGAGAAGTCTCAGAGCTTTGAGACTGGGAGGATGCGAATAGCAAGAGAAGCATGGGTTAAAAGCGGTTGGGTACCACTCACTGATGAGCACTCGGGGGCACTTCTTGCTTATGAACCATAGTTAGTGCTTTGGTAGCAACTGCAAACCAGTGGTGAATGAGGTTTGGGCTTGCTGGGCCTTGAAGAGTCCAAACTCTAAAGGGCTGAGCTTCTTGTGCCTGAACAAGCTTATAGAGAAGAGCAAGATGGGACCAGGTCAGCCCTTTGGGCCATCACCCACCATCCAATCCCAGCTCCCAGCCTGCTCTCCAGCCTCCTCTTGGGTATGCTACTCAGCTCAGGTCTCACTGCTGGGTAGAGCCCACAGGGATGAGGAGCAAGACAAGGTGAAGGAGAACCAGCCTCCCTCTCCTATAGAGCCCATGGCAGCATACGTGCGTGTGCATCCCTGCTGGATGGAGCACATAACCCTGACATAGGATGCTTGGCTTGAGCTGCTGCCATAGCATTAGCAAAGGCCATACATAGTGACAATGAGGTCGCAGAGCTGCAACACACATGGCTTCACCTGCCCCATAGCAGCGGGGACACACCAGCCTGGACCATGTATCCCCAGGGCAAAGCAGGGATGCTGGCCGTGTTTCTCCATCAATGGATGTGTTTTTGGGGGCAGGAAGACAGCGTTTCCCTAATTCCCAGCACACATCCATGCCGGGCAGCGCATTGTAAAACCCTCTCCAAACAAACCAAAGCAAAAAGAGGTAGTTTCCTGGGAAAAGGCCTAGAAAACAATCAAGCCAAGGCAGAGCCCCGTGTTTATTTTGCTGCTCTGACTGACAGCAAAAAGCAAACAGACCCAGGGAGAAATTAAACCCAAATGGGAAGGGGGGAAACGGGATGGGATGGGATGGGAAGTCATTTAGCCCTTTGCAGCTTCCGAAGGGAGTTGGGAAGAGGCAACGCAGCAGCCTTGCACCCCCTTAACTCTTTGCTGGTAACACGGTTCCCCACTCCCCCCCACATAGCTAGGTAGGAAGGTAGAGTTAGGACTTTTATACTACTGATTTTGAAGGACAGTTTTCAATGTATAATAATATATCGGTTTAGGTGTGCAGTGATTGAAAGAGAGACCGGGAGAAAGGGAAGAAAACAAACCTCAATCAATACTATTGGGCAGGTTTTGTTGTAAAATATTGTAACCTTGTATAAACGCAACCTTTTATTGTGGGTTATATTTTTTTCTCTCCTTTAGCTTAAGGGCCTGGGGTAGGACATGTTAATAATAAATACGTTAAAAAAAAAGTACTAAAAAAGATCAGGAAAATGACAAAAAAAAAAAAAGAACAAAAAAAGTATCATTAAAAATGTTGCCATGTGAGAGGTTTGTGCCATGCAATGTTATTGCCTATGCAACCATGTATTACCAGTTCATTACAGTGGAATATTAAAGAAGAAGAAACACTCTTGCAGCTTGCTTCTTTTTCACCTTTTCTGAAGTAACTTATTGCACTTGCAGGGCTTGTTTTTTGGGGGGGAAAGGGTGAAATTCCAGGGCACCAATTTTGATTTTCCCAGTTTTTAATGGAGCAGCCGCATTGGGAATAGCCCCAACTTCCCATCGGACCCCAGCCAAGAGCAGGGGGACACAAAGGGTGTTGTTGTTGTTTTGGTTTGCAATAAACTCCTTCTCTCCTCTGCTCCCAAGTGCGATGTGGCTGGTTTGTTCCTGACTCCCAGAGATGAAACGCGATCAGCGGGGCCTCCAGAACCTCACGTTAATTGGAGCTGGCAAAGGATCCCAACAGTGCCCTTTTGAACCGCTGACGCAGCGCAGGGGGGGATTAGCTGGGGTAGATTAACAACAGGTGGCAGCTCACGGGCTGCTGCCTCTGCCCCACGAAAAGAGATGGGTCCTGGCACAGGAACATCCTGCACGGCAGCTCCCGGGAGCCACGGCTGCTCCGGCAGTGCCTTCTGCATCCATACCCAGCACACAGCACGTTCGGCATCCAGACCGAGCACACAGCACCTTCCACATCCATACCCAGCAAACAGCGCCTTCCACATCCATACTGAGCACACAGCACCTTCCACATCCATACTGAGCACACAGCGCCTTCCACATCCATACTGAGCACACAGCACCTTCCACATCCATACCCAGCACACGGCACCTTCTGCATCCATACCCAGCACCCGGCGCCTTCCACATCCATACCCAGCACACGGCGCCTTCCACATCCATACCCAGCATACGGTGCCTTCCACATCCATACTGAGCACACGGCACCTTCCACATCCATACCCAGCACACAGCGCCTTCCACATCCATACTGAGCACACAGCACCTTCCACATCCATACCCAGCACACAGCACCTTCCACATCCATACTGAGCACACAGCAC